CAGCCGACAAAATTTACGACGTGGAATGTCGCACGAGCGGTTCACGACCAGATGCGGTGATTACTTGGTGGAAAGCAAACAAGCCAATCATTAAGACGGCTGAAATCGTAAGTTCGCTATATATGTTGCATGTAAAGTGTATGTGGAAAAAAGTGCTGTAGAGCAAAACGAAACTAGACATCATTCTAAAGAAGGAAGCCAAAGAAGGAGGTCATTTAAATGCGGGAGGAAGAGCAAACATTCTCGGCTACTTAATAAAAAGTTCCTCTCTCGGGCTCTTTATTTGAAGATGTTAAATGTCGACACTCAGTCTGTAACTTTCTGGCGGCGAAAGCAAATTTATAATGCTCTTGTTATAAAATAATGCGAGTAAAATTGACAGTGACTAATTCAAGTATTGGACTTGCGATATAAATCTCCTTTTCCCACTTCGCAGAATATTTCAAGCGATAATTTGATTCGTATTCCAATGTGGCTACTTCATTACGGGATAAAATAATCTTTTTCATTACATGTATAAAATTTGCTGGATGACATTTCAACTGGGCTAACATAACTAAGCGTAGATACGAAGGATTCAAATGCATATAATTTTACAAGTGATTTTCGGAATCAAAGTTCGATCTTGCGGGAGAAAGTCGGCAAAATCGCTCACGCAGTCTGCGAAAGAGCGTAGTTGATCCTCGATTCATGTCCCAAGTACCATAATTCGGCAAAGTTACACCGAGTGTTTTTATATACATAGATATATACGTTGCCTCCCCGATCGGTTGGATGCGAACATTTGTGTCGTCGAGTCTTGAAAGCGGTTAACGGAAAGCATTACTGAAGTGCGCCGTACAATTCGGGGGAGAATTCTTGAAATCGACGTCCCATAACTTGCCGCAGTTTACGACGATTCGTCCAGAAGTTAGGACGTTGGAGTTATTTCGTTTTTCTTGCGGGCGACTTCTTGCACCCCCTCCCTGCCCCCACCCTCTTTTTCGTCCGTTCATCCCGTCACCTCGATCCCCGACATACCCCGACACTTCTTTCGCAGTGACAGAGAGAGTACAGAAGTTCGCGAACGATCCAGTGGATCTTCGCTTGATAAACTTTCGAGACTTAACTTTCTTTTCCTATTTTCGACGTAGATGTGTCCCCGTCCATCGCCTGTGGCACGAAATGTTTCAGTAATGCCTAGAGCGCTAAATTTTTGAAATGTCTCCCCAAATATAACTGTTTTTCTTGCCTCAAGGGGCTATTTCACAAATTTATATCGTGTATTCCCGTGGGTTTATTTTTTCCCATAAAAATGTACCGCGCGCCGATCGATATATCGGTTCGATCAATAACGATCGTGTCGTTTTCGTTAGCTATCTCCTGAAATAACGTTACTACGTCACATAGATTGGTTATTGAAGTTCAACAATTGAAATAGCAAATATGAAACATTTATCGATGTCTTTGTGATCATTAAATGATATAGTATCTGTAGCGCATATTCATGATATTATAATATTCAAGATAATTATGCATAGATATTAAAGGGACATGTGCAAACCGATATTATAGCTCGATGCAGATCGATATTATAGCTGCGGTTAGTTAACAATAATGAAGCCATAAATGATAATTTCACCATTCGCGTATGTTGTTACAGATGAAACAACATACAACGTAATTGGCTCTAATGAGTTTTCGTAGTAAAATACATTTTTAACTTGAATTAAGATCCTTAATAACTTAATGTAAGATCACGTTTTATTTTATTAGTTATTTATTGATATATGCATAATATAATATGTTTATTTAAAATCTACATAGATCGCAGAATACGCATTAAAATAGTTTGAAATTTTTATCATTTCTATTACATTGCGTAGATCACACACGGCAATGCATAAAAATACATTAAATTTCGCCGATGAAAAGTATTCAGTATTTCTATGTATCAGAATTTTATGACTATGGTCGGAACGACATTACCGTTTTATGTTTATATCATATATTTTTACTGCCCCATTATTTCATAATCATCTGCGAGCGAAAATGTTTGAAGCCCGTGACGACCATTACTGCACACGTGATAACAGGATACCTCACAAAAAAGTTATATTACGAATTTTTTCATACGTAGGTAAATACGGTAAATACATTAGTTCATCGCCAGGTTTTCAGTGCGTCACAAATTGAAAACGCAGAATAAATTTTTATCTCTTTCATCAAGAATATCTCTCTCATTCCTACATATGATGCGATAGAAACGTTAAAGAAACTTGTTTTTTTTTTATATTTTTGATAATCTCGTCGTTACGTTATTGAGAAATTGGTCACATTTTGCAGAGTCTGGATTCTTTTGCTATGTTTCGCTCATATATTTCGGAATCTTAAATGTGTCATTTTCCGTAGGAGCGTAAGACAACGATCCAGATACCATTAGATTTAATTGGATCTGCGTAGAAGCGCGATTAATTTACATACCGTTCCCCAAATATTCACGAGGACGCATTTACATCCTCTTAGAAATAGTGACTTGAAAATGCCACGCCGGTAACATTCGGTCGATGTATGCGAAACGTTGTGACCGTAACGTCAGTTCGCGTACGATCTACCTGCGCGATATATCAATGCTCGTGTGTTGGATTGTCCAGAGGGTTTTATCGGAAAATTCGATCGCATCGCACTGAGGCGCACTGAAAGTACAACGCAGCGAAGCTTACAAAAAAAATACACAGGAGATAGGGAAAGCGAGATGGAGAGTTAGGGAGGGAGACGAGCCCACGATCGGTGGAGATGTATAAGAGAGTGAGAGACAGCGACGCACCACATTCATCCTGACGAACCATTACTTCCATTCATCGTATTCGCGATACTGATGCGGATACGTGGCTTTTCCGATATATATGCCCGATGGCACTATCATTAAAATGACATCGTGAAAGCGGGAGGGACACGGGCTGTGATGGAGAGAGGAAGCGTCAGCGATGTGACCCGCACCCGCTTCGACCTCCATTTCCCGTCGTTGCTCTAAGCATCATAAATCTTGAAAAACCGTTAATCCCCGGCGCTCTTTTATTTCGGCATCACTTTGGCCTAACAGCTTCCAACGATGTTAAATTAATATTAGCAGCAAACGCGTGACGCCGCATGAAAAATGGAATGGCGTTTTCGACGCAGGAAATGAGAAATGTGCGAATCGTGTAAAGATAGCGGAGTTTGTTAATGGGCTGATTAGTTCATTCGATCAATAGTCCGGCCACTTTTTAATATCGCAAAAGTTATATATCTCAATTAATTCCGCGAAGTAGACACGTTATGAATACGATATGAACACGGCGCAAATTTTCCGAGTTTCCACGAATGGAAATTTCTATCGAGAAAATCTATCACTTTTTTCAAAATGCTACGCTATAAAGCAGTGCGAAGCAATGTTCGGTTTCCAGATCGATATGTTGAATCGTTTCGAGCATTCGTTACATTGAGATATGTATTTAATTCCTAAGTCAACTGCGTTATTCGATCCGCAATTTCCGGAAAAAGACTCTTGATTTCAAGATCAATGTGCATATTTAATTACAGTTTCAGCTCGAGAACAATCAGACACTGAGTATCCTCAGTTTCGTGCCAACTATAGAGGACGATGGTAAATATTTGACGTGCCGCGCGGAAAATCCGTCTATATCAGACAGCGCGTTGGAGGACAAGTGGCGGCTTGACGTACAATACCAGCCGGTGGTCAGCTTAAGGATGGGCGAAACGCTGAATCCGGATGACATCAAAGAGGGCGACGACGTGTACTTCGAGTGCATAGTGCGGGCAAATCCAAAGGTGTACAAGCTCGCCTGGTTCAAAGATGTAAGTATCGCCAACACTCGCGTGTCTATCACGATATCCGTGGAAACATTTCACGGTATATTTGCGTTTTGTTGTACACCCGCACCGTCCGTTCTCCCGTTCTCTTTATGCAAATGTAATTCGTTCTCCATTAGATAACTTGCGTGCGTACTGTTCCACGCGTTCTTTATTACAGCGTAGTTTCCATCTGTGTGCGCGCATTTAAATTACATTATAATTGCAATTAAGCAACACGGACTTGCACTAAATTCAGATTTTATTGCAACGGCAATTTGTACGTGGTTTCAGGGAAAAGAGTTGAAGAATAATCCCACAGCGGGCGTAGTCCTTAGCGACCACTCTTTGGTTCTCCAAGGATTGACCCGTTACTCCGCCGGCGATTACACCTGTCTTGCCGCGAACAGCGAGGGAAAGACGGCCAGTAATCCGGTGTCTCTCCAGATAATGTGTAAGTGGAAAGCGCACATTAACAAGTTCTCGTATAATTAATAGCACAAATTATCTCGCCCGAAAATTGGCCCGGGTAAACAATGCCGTAATGGCATTGGGGCGTATGTCCCTCATAAGCGGCGCTGGTTCCCCAATTTCCCTCTCGCAGCTACGATCCCTCGATAATTACTTAATCGATGGTAAGCAACTCCGCGGTATGCACAGAGGCAAGTACAGCGGGGCGTTTGTCGAACGCATGAGAAACGAACCCGACGGTTAAGTCGGGGATGAGACGGGAATGGTGGCGGATAAGGGGGGGATAGAATGGGGAGCGCGGTAGATAGGGTGTATAGTTTTCTGTGAAACACGGAACGCGGGTTATTCTATTAGAATGGTCGGTGGCCCTGGTGCCAGCCTGGCGTATCTGCATCTTGTAAATGACCTAAGAGGGAAGGAAGGACTGCGATGCATATTCAATGTATGTAAAGCGTAGTTGAATATTCATGTGTGGGTGAACGCAGGCTGGCAATGTGCTAAGCTAGGCCGGAGCAGACGTACGGCGAGGCGTACGTAACTGAAGGAGATCGCAGATCCGTCCCGATGTTCCAAACCCTCCTGCGGAGTCGACGACGTCGATCTTTTGCATTCGCATGGGACTTGGAACAATCCATGATCACGTCACGATATGATATTATACACGTGCGAATGACGCGTCATGCAAACGACTTTCTTAAAATCTTTTCCGGTTTTCTGGCATCTTTTATTATGTCATTTATAATATCACATTGCGCGATAAATTCGTATTTATTCTGTACGACATACCGATCTATTCTTATATCAATTATACTTTATTAGGCGCATTAAGAGACCAAAATTTATTACGTGGTTTTATTCTAATATATTGAAAAAAACGTATACTAGTAAATGGCGTGTTGCAATTTTAAAAACGACCAAGTGTGTAAGAAAAAATAAGAGATTGCTTTTGCAATACTTACATGTATGAGTGTGTAAGGTAATAAGATCTACACATTCTGCTCTCAACAACTTTAACTGTTTGCAATGCAAATCGTATAAGTACGAAAAGCTTCCCGGTCAACACACATTTGATTTACAAATTTAGAAGTTTGCTAACATCCATTGTTATACATATGTGTTGAAGTATATTCAAATCTTGATAACTTTGAATCTAATAACAGAATTAGAAATTAAAATTTACATATTATCAACAGCAGCAATTCTGCGCGTGGATATAAACACCTATAATTATAAGAGATTCTTTATGTTTGGTACTTAATAGATTTTTGCATTAATTTAAATTTTAGCGGTGGTATTTTTAATCTCGATTTTTACCTTGATTGCTTGCGATTAATAGATGAGCATTGATTGTTGGCCACTGAATAGTTAACAAACATGTGTGATTCGACTTCCACGGCTTCTGAACATTTATTATGAAACGCTTAATCCGTTCGCTGGAATAAAGAACAGAGAGATAGACGTAAGTTGTTGAATGTTTTACGAGCAAGACAAACATTGACCCAACAATTTGTCTGGGTATTCTGGAGAAATTGCGAGGTTATTCAAACTGTATCTTTTTGTAAAAGCATGTATCTGCGTCAAATATAGAGCTGTCTGTCGACACCGCGGTTTCCTAAATCGTTCAAATTATGGAACGGTGAAAGAAGAAATTTTCCTAAAAATATTATTTTTACGAATGGAGGGCGAATCAAATAAGATGACTGTGCAGAAAGTTCGAAGAAACGTTCAAAGAAAATAAACGACCTGATCGCATCCTTTCTAAAAGAATCACGAGATATACTGGCAGGGACGTGTCCAAGAAAGCACCTTGTGGCATTTTGCAAAGTGATTTTCACTTGGAAATACGTCGCATTACGCGAAGAGATCGACCTGATTTCTCCACTACAGTCTCTTATCCGCAAACTTGGAGAGCGGACGTTCCAAAGCGTCTACGTAAGATATTATGCTTTAGTAAACAGACGTACCGCTCCGGGTGATATACGTCGATATGTACGTACCGTAATGCGTAGCATCTCTCCAACTTCTCATCTTGGCAATTAATTTAGTATCGCATAGACTGTATCAAATTGCAACCAGACAGTCTCTCTATCCGTGATTCCTAGCCTTCAGTCGTAAATCATCACTCCTGCCGCGTGGGACTTCCGCATGTCATGGCCTATCGCAAATACCGGTGTCAAGGGAATTTCCTATTAGACTATCGATCGACCGTGCAACCGGCTGAACGGCGTCGAGCTGCTTCTTCTTCCGTTTGACACTCGCGGATCTCGCCGGGATATCGAGCGTGCGCGCGCAAGGATCAATGCAGCCGTGCGACGAAACAGAACGTCGAATATCCATTTAAATCGCCGTTGATATTATTCCACGACAAGAATGGAATGCTGATTGATTTACGATTTATATGTACGGAGCGTGACCCGGGGAAACATAAATTAATCAGAATAGCTTTTTATGCTTATCATCGGACAATGAAATTTCTCGAGGCAGAAGAACGTCGACTTGCATACACTTTGTTATACATTAATCTTGACAAGCGGGCCATAAATCACTCTGTACTTCAAACTTTGCGCTACTCCATCGTTGTTCGCAGAAAGGCCACCGTTGGCAAAGTACGACGACTTTGTTTGCAGATGCGCCGGTGTGCAAGGAGGGCAAGAGCGAAGTGGTGGTTGGCGCTTTGAAACAGGAGACCGTGTCGTTAGTGTGTTCCGTGGAGAGCCATCCGGCGCCATTGACTTTCCATTGGACATTCAATAATTCCGGCGAGCTCGTCGAGGTCCCACACTCGCGTTACTCCCACGTATCGGCGCCCGGCACATCAGACAGCCTGAAAGAGTACCAGCAGTTTCACGGGTTCAGACTGAACTACACACCAGCCACGGAAATGGATTACGGTACGGTGGCATGCTGGGCGAGCAACCAGGTTGGCAAGCAACGAACACCTTGCCTTTTTCAGGCAAGTACTTTTCCGCCTGTACCTTTTCGCTTCTTTACGTCTCAGCGACTTGCGCGCCGCGGTTTCCATCGTGCGATTCAGAATTTCGAGCTTTTAGCACGAGGATATAGAAATACATACGTGTATGCATAGATCGCTTTCGTTCAATTGCATAAGGTGGATCCTCTTTTCTTTGTCGTACTGTATTATAAGTCATATATTTGTCGTTAATTTAAAAGTAATTTTATTTCAAATGCACTGTCGCAGCAGAGGTTTCTGCAACGTTGCTTAACTTTAATCCGTTCTTATCTCATTCTTTGTCTCTTTCTAAAGAGACACAAATGTAATCGATAATTAAAGATTTCTCGTGAAGTAACTTTTAAGAATAGAAAAGATAATAAAGCTATATTTTTTGAAATATTTAAATGGACTTCAATAAATATTTAATTTAAAGTTTAGTTACCAAGATGTGAATTATTGGAATCGGATATTTGATAAGAAACGACTATTTTCAGTAGTTCTTCTGGAGAAAATTTTATATGCAATTTTATTAAATAACCTATCGTTGTGTTCATCAATGTGTCGTTCCATATATTTCCAGAATTTTTCTTGGAATCTTGGAATTCGCCGGAAACATCAAGTTATTGTTAAACTCGGTATATATAAAATTATTATTAAACTTACTTCCGTGAAACATAACACGTGACATCAACTGATTGGAAATATTATACAATGTCAACAGAGTGGAAAATGAACATACACATATTGCAAATTTTCTTGAAAAAGGAAACCACTCATTTTCGTCACGATGAGTTATTATGTGTTAAGTAGAACATTTCGTATCTCTTGTCTTATTTTGGCTTATGGAATCCCGTATAAATCTCAATTTTCGTCGACACGACAAATTAATTTCTTTATTAATATAGTATGATACATAGTCTATGAATTACTCCTGATATTAAAGTTTCTGTCAAATATATTCTCGAGCGTACTCTCGGGGAACATTTTTTGCATAATCTTTTTATCTCCAGACATTATTTTATGCGCGAAAATTATAAAACTCACGTTAGCACTATCTAACAGGCTATAAACAGAAATTCTATTAGTAACCTTGAAAATTTCACAAGAAAGTGCCGTTTTATCGTTAATCGTAATATATACTTTTATCTCTGCCTGATATCGAGAGATCTTCTTAATTGATAGGGCTGAAATACGACGCTCTCTCGATCATTACGTCGGCCACGATTCTTCGCCGTATCGATGTGTTCGATCTAAAAGTGGTTAAATCATCCGTACCGCATGCCTTAAATATTCCAGTATTTACACGACGTGCGTCATGTTGCTAGCTATTTCCTTCATAAATTTCATGCATTGTATACTCCGGCATCACTATGCTCCATACATTTTCATTTTGATCGATCGACGGCATCTACAAAGAATGCGAGGGTTGCCTTCTTTGACGATACAAACTGTGCTCGTATTTGACATGCATATGAGTCTTCGAACGTGTGTAAAGTCGTTTACTGCCGCTGTTGGAAAGATCGATCGCTCCTTCCCTATTGTGAAAATTGCGATACAGAAGAATGCACGATGTAAACATAGCGGTTAAACTATATTGTTAAACTGTGTAGTTGTGTACAGTAGAATTATGTGGAAGCACAGTATTAAGAACGTACTGTTCGGAGTCCAGGCTCTTTCTTACGGGGCAAGAAATTGTACTCGGCGTCATTTCTAGTACGATAAAGTGCGCACTGATTGATTTAGTGCAAATACATTTTATCTCCGATCTGCTTGCTTCAGGTTATAGCCGCGGGTCGTCCGTACGCTCTTCACAATTGCAGTGCCACGGAAATGTCAGCTCCTCTGGACATGGAGGAGCTCGGCACGAAATCGGGAACGGGGCTGGTAGTTCGGTGCCTGGAGGGCTACGACGGAGGTCTTCCGATATACAGTTATCAGCTGGAAGTCGTATCTGATGAGGACAGAGGTCCGATTCTCCTAAACAAAACCGTACCGGCGAGCCCCAACGGGCCGACTTTCGAAGTCGCAGGACTGACGACGGGAAGAAGCTATCGACTTTTCCTCTACGCGATTAATGCGAAGGGAAGGAGCGAACCTGCCATACTTGAACCGGTGACGCTGAAGGGCGTCGCTATGTACACGACTGGTGAGTACATTCAGCTTCCCGAGTCTACTTTTGTATCGACGAGGCAATCACGAAACTTTAAGTGTTGCTGTTTCTCTTTTCCGCTTTTGTTAATATGTGCAACGAATACTATCTCATCCAAAATTAAAAGATTTCTCATTTTTTAATTTTGAATACTTATCCGATACTGCAAAAAAAATTGAGATTTTTCGCACAGAACTTTCCGGTGAAGGAAAGTTTAAAATTTCGATAGTCATACAAATGTAACTATTTATCTCAAGAATGTCGGAGCTCATTCCGTGTTTAAGGGAAGCTACGAGAAGTTTCCTCGTTAGCGGAGATGATTATTCTCGTATTACGTGTAAGTGGAGAAGGAGAATGATCTTAAGTCTAAAACGTCTCCGAGTAAGTCGTAAACGAATCATAAGCACAATTTGGTTGACTTATAAAGTTACTGAATGAAGAAACCTGTAGCGATGTAAATTTCTGCTGTAGCATCACACAAAGTTCTTCACGATATGCTCTACATTATATTTAAATTTCTTATATTATGCAAAGTACGGTCGAGAGAGAACTTATGGCTCGTTAATTTGTCTCGCTTCTGCATTGCGCGGAACGGATAGGGCTTCGAAGCACCCTTGCAAATGAAATATTCACTTTTCACGGGAAGTAGCGTTTTCGCTAACTGCGGGGAATAAAAAAAAAGAAGAGTGATTGCATTGTATTCATCAGCCGGCGACCAAACCAGTTTCCTTTCTCGACTTCCTGCATTTACGCGTCGATCGTCGGTTGCAGCGCCAATAACAATCGCGCTACATTTTTCTCGTCGGGCCTTGTTGAAAACCGAGCGGAGCGGACATGCCCTCTGAAAAATGACGCGGCCAGGCCCGGAAAAAAAAACGCTGAATTTCGCTTTTGACGGTCCATTAGCGTGCGTTCGGACGCGAGTGTGGTTACGGCGTGCGTGGATAGCGCCTATTATACCCGGTGATAGCCGTCGCAAGGACGGCGGATATGATCGCAATTTCACAAATACTGCGAACGGACGCGTCAGTATTGCAATTAGTCGGTTAACCGAGCCCCGTAGTCTCCTCGCTGTTCTCGACGACAGGCTCACACTGTGGTCGGCGATGTTGTGAGCCAGGATGTGAGGAACGGGAGGCGAACGGGTGGTCTACCACCCGGATGGAGGTGGAAGCGACTAGTGCCAGTAGGAGAGTTTGTAATGCTGAACGCAGCACAACGCAACCGCAGGTATCGGGCTCTGCGGACCTTGCAATTAACAAAACAGATTACTCTCAATCAACGAACACCTATACCCGCTTCGGTGCACGGGACGTGACAGTTTCACTGGCTTTCTGCGACTCCCCATGTGATTCCGTGGGGAAATAGCAAACAGCGTGCGTCCTGCGTTGATTTGAGTTGTGGTCAGTTGGCTTCTTCCCTTGGCCTAAATCGAAGAAGCTCGAAGTGATGAGAGCAGAGAGAAGAAATGTATTAGGCCAGAGAGGCGCAATGCTATCAGGATATTTATTTTTATCAAGTTACGAAAAATCTTACGATTCGTAAAGGAATATTGAGTATATGATAAAACAAGGAAGCAGCTTTGTTTGTTATTATAACATTTTTATCAATTAGATAAGGAAGTTCATTAAAGACTCAGAGAAATATAGTCTCGTATATTGAATCGGATTTGAAAAGTTTATCGAGTTCAACTTACGATCGACGGAAACTAATAAAGAAAACATGTGCTAAAGAGTTTAATATATTTATCTCCTATTAAATTTATTTACCCGAGAGAATACTTATTCGCGCGTTATCAGTAAATTTTCTGCTTTCACGTAACTGTAAAGGGGAAACGTTCCTTGGCGTCTCGGCACATTTTCTTGTAATATTGGTGGCGTTAAACCATGTTGCAAACTTGAAAGGCATCAAACTCAAAGAACTTATCGTCCGAGCGTCTGTTCGTGCTGTCGCTCGTCGACACGAAAAAGCCAAAACGCAAGAACGTAATCGTCGGCTTGATCGATGTGCTGCAGACTGCATTACATACCAAAAATTGCTGGAAGGTTGGCGTGTTCGAATTTAGCTACGGCGAACGGAAGCTAGCTTCCGCCGCTTTAATACGCAAAAGTAAAAGGTTGCTGCGAGTTCTTGTTTCGGCAAATATCGCCAGCTAGGCCAACAAGTCCAACAAGTCTTTCGCGCGAGCGGAGCCG